TCATTCTGCTCTGCAACCTGCCCAAGTAAATGAAGCTAGACAATGTGGCCAAAAGATACTGGATAAAATTGCACATATCAATCAATATTTAAATACATCATGATGTATACAATTTGGTAATCCTATTTCCAAGTTTATAATGACTAATGCTGAAAAAAACAGAGGGTTCATGTACACTCAATCTACCTAATATATTTTAAATCCAACATTTAACTAAATGCAAGCATTTAACTGTGCAAACTTAGCTTTGTATTACAACTAGGGGTTGTGACAGTACATTAAAATCCTGGTTTGGTACCTCCCGTTTGGTACCTTCTGTTTTGGGGTTATGGTTCAGTACATTTTGGCTGGAACAGCTGGAAAAACAACAAAGAATTTAAAAATAACATTTTGATAATTTATTCAGAAAACAGTTAATGCACTCAAATACTGATATATTGCAAATGAGATAACTAAATTTCAAATGTCTGTAATGCTGCATCGTAAGACAAGAACACCTGCCTCTAGCGCTCTTTTACAGGGCAGGCACAACAAACTGATTAAATGCGAGAAAGCGTAATGCTCCCATACAGTGGATCTGTCATGATCCTCCAGTTCTGGTCTCTCATTTGTGTTTGTCATTCCGATGGCAGTGACGATACACGAGTTTGAATAATGGGGCTAACCCGACTAGTATGCTACAGCTCATAGATAACAACTGATGCACTTCCAAAAACTTTCCAGATGAAACTCACACTCTGGAATTTCTGTTCAGCATGTGCAAGTAGTACACATAAATAGACTATACCTAAGTAAGTGTTTGGTCACAGGGCATACTGTACCAATTAAGTTGCATACGAACCGAATGTACTGTACCGAATGGTTCGGGACGAATACACATACTGCTGAACCCCTAATTACTATTGTCTTACAAAATTAAACACATGTCAATCCTTTTGGGAATTTGCTTTCTTGCAATAATTACCACTAATTAATGAAAGTTTAACCAATATCTGTGCTATGGCTGTGGATTCAGAATATTATTCACTATCCACTAGCGTTACCTATCTGTCAGTACTCGACGGCTATATAGCTACAGTAGTAGCGGCTGTAAATTTATGCTAATGCTAGATCGTTTGTTGACAGACAGACTCATCAATCTTGCAATGCAGCCTCATCTTGCAACTAACTTAGAAAATGCTTTTTTATACAGCTTGTCAAATGTAAGAATTTATAAGTCTGCTCAAAGCATCAGCATTGAACATGCCCTTGATTTTATGGGGGATAATTGGACACAGAGACTGGAGTGACAGGACATTTTGTAGGGAAGTCATTTTCGCAACGGTGCACACTGGCTCAAGCTAGGGCTGTGCAATAATCAAATTTTAATCACTATTTCGATTTTGGCTGTTAATCAAATTTAAACGATTATTGTGCTGCATGCTGTTTCACAATGACACTCGTTTTGTTATAATCCAGCGCACCTTTTCCTTTGCTAGAAGCCCAAACTCCATCCTGTTGCATGATTAGTTTAGCTGGAGCCAACATTACAGGGTTATAACTGCTAAAACGTGCTGCTAGTCATCATTATTAGATTAAGAGTATGGCATTTTACACTGTATAAATTAGCCTAGAGGCTAGCGGACATTTCCTCTACACATAGCTTTACAATTTTCAAAACATAGTTATGCTTATAATAAACCCATTGTGTTAAGCCTTGCTTTACCTGGTCCGTGCTTGTGAAATATTTACTGTGTCCCCGTCTGTATTACTGGATATATACTTTTCTCACCGTTGGTTTAAGTAACTGCATCTCCCGATGGAACACATGGTTGAATTTCAGCGTTGTATCATAACAAGGTGTCCTCAACTCAAATACTTCACCTGTCAACTGCTTTGCTCCACTCTGTGTGCAAGCGTACACAGCGTTGCTTTCGTCCGCTTGGCGCTAAGATGCTGTTTAAAGTTAAAAATATTTGATTACTATTTCCTATTTCATGGGCTATTTTTAAAAGATCAATAAATGCATGATGTTTCCTAAGTCAGTCAATAATCGTGTTAATAATCGTGATTTCAATTATGACCAAAATAATCGTTATTAAGATTTTTGCCATAATCGAGCAGTCCTAGCTCAAACTCAGCGGACGACTTTTTCGGTCCCAATGCTGATACCAATACTTCAGCTTTGGGTATCAGCGATAGAGATTACCAATCTGATACCAGCGTAATATTAACAAGCTGTATTCCCCACTGTGAGGAAGAGACTGGGAATCATTCTTTATGTGTAAGGCAACATTCAAACTGCTGACCACTTGTCTTTAGCTCGCTCTATGCTATGTTAGCTCTCCTAGCAAAATATTCAGGTCTACCAGCGCACTGCTGACTCATCGCATAGTTGAATTGAATAGATTGGCCCCCTTGTCGACGATACCCGATCCAGGTATTTGAGTCCGTATCGGACTGATATCGGTATTGGATCAGTATATCCCTAATTTAGCTGTCGCAGAACTGCTAGCTAATATTAGCACCACTGGAAACTGCTTTAAGGCATATTTATTGCCCCATGACTTTTATGTCCCCTGGTTCTCAATGCAACACTACAAATGCTGAAGGTCCCAATGTTGCACCATGATTTTATTGTTCCCTGGTTCTCATGCGACGCTACAGATGCAAAAGTACCCAATGATATATTTGGTTATATTTTGAATAAGTAGTACCTGCAGCAGCACCTACTTTTTCTCCTTTCACAAGCAGAGTTTAGAGTTGTGTGTTGGAGTGTCATGTTTCTCTTAGTTTAAAAATTTTTGTTCCAAAGCTAGCAGTAAAATTCTTCAGTTCTGGTGTATTTATAAAGCGCTTTTTAGGGTCATAATGCAGGTCACAGCTCCAAACGAGCATTGTAAAGTTTATATGTGCAAGAGGGCACTAAAATCTTTAATTGCCTTGTGCCATGCATTATAACTCCAACACTACTGATCACTTTGATGTAACTTAAGGGAACGATCCATCTCATTTCTCTGTTGTGACATTTTTTTAATTGCACTGTTTAGCCTAAGGCAGCGCTTATTACTGATTACTGATTGAGTATGGGAGGTGGCATCATTTGGGGAGTGGTGTGTTTATTGTTGCCCTGCTTAAGTTTTGAAGTGGTTTGATTTGAAGTGGTTTGATTTGCTTTCACTTTCAAAGCCCTTAGTTGTAAACACTTCATTGATAAATGCGTGTCAAAGATGATTTGTTACACATGCTGGCACCTGCAAAGAAGGCTTAAAATTCTGTAACATATGACTTGTTAATTGTTTGTCCAGAACCAATGCCTTGCTGACAACTGACAAAACGGGCCGTTGACAAAACCATCAACAAACATGGTGATTGTTAAAGGTACATACAGTTGCTAAGTATTATTAAATCAATGCAGGTAACGCAATATTTCCATTTGTCTCCTAAAAAAAACAGTATCCCTTCATTGTATTAGCAAACATTTTAGTTACAAAGCAACACGGTGACAATATTAATCCCGGCCATGTAGAACAACTTCTGGACATATATTTTAAAATAGTCAAATACCATAGAACTTCAACTTAACCCAGACTTTTTTCTTATTTGTTTGCCTATATTTTAAGACAGGTGCCCATATTGGACAGGTATTAACATTCCTTTTGAACAAAACTCTTGCTCAGCAAATATGTTAAATACTGTGAAATAGTTTATTTATTCAAACCAGTAAAAAAAAAAAAAATTGTCTATCGAATAACGTATGAATTACGAATCATTTATTTAAACTGAGAGAGAATGCGCATCTAGATCAACCTCATGCACAAAGAGAGAACGAGCGAGTGAGCCCTGTATCAAAACACCGGTAGCCTACCTTATAAATGATGAAAGTCAAAGGTAACCGTAGTTGTTTCAACTTGGATATTTTTTTTTTTGAAAAAACTTTTAGATTCTTTTAGTCGTTGGACCCTTACTGACTAAAGGACTATATATAGGCTAATTGAGGATTGGACACACATCTGGACTACAAAGGTACTAGAAGCACGCTACCTTTTTGTTTATAATGGCAGTAAAATTTGTTGTGGATAAACAGCGTGGTATGCGGTTTTATTGCCGTTTTTGAGCTGCTAACAGCAGCTTTGTGGTCGGAGCAAGGTAGCTGCTGGGTGCTGGTCAAAAGTTGCACAACATTGCAGAGCAATCTCATTTCTGTAGTTACAACTTCCAAGTTTTATAATGGGTTACATGCAGCCAATGGCGATCCTTCCTTAAACAATTACAGAGCTTGTTACGCTTGTGGAATTGTGGAAGAACTAATTTAATTATTTAGCACGCATTTAGTGTAAAGTATGAACATTGCGATTGTTGCAGTGCTTGCCATTCTATGCGGTTGGCTTGGCCAATAGCACGGTATTTCAGTTTTGCAGTTATCATGACAGCCCTACTTTGGGTCCACTTTGACTCTCATCTGTAATGTCAAATGTTTGGTCTTAATAAGGAACCTTTATAATTTTGATATGTTACATTTATATGAAACAAGTTGTGCCTAAACAGTTCATTGTTAAAGCCCCTGAAAACTAAAACCAAAGTATTTCTCAATAAAATGAAATATTTATGACTATATAAACAACAAAGTTTGTAAAACATACTTGAGTAGTTTTTTAATAGTTTTAACTGTCAAAAATTAAATTAACCTGCTTCAACACGACAATGTGGGTGGGTTTTGTCATGCGTTTGACAGACGGGCATAAGCAACAAATACACAACTTTCATCAGATTTTGATTCAAACATTACTGAAACCAAAACTGTTGTAACTTTGGCAGATAATGTTGTGTTCATGTAGGACCCCTCCTAACAACTGAGCAAAGATCAGCTTTCTTTGGTTTGTATGGTTAAAACTCCTTTTGTGACTGTGTTCATCATTCAGGTTGTTTATTAATGTGCACTGTAAATTAGGTTGAATTAATTTTATAGCCGCTTTATTTGTTTCCTTTTTGTTAACCATTTGTCATTGTTTGTTTTTTAGGTAGAGAAAAAACAGATATGAAACAGGAACCACCTCCCAGAATGCCCATCAGGAGAAATCTGTCTGCGTCACTGCCACCACAAAGCCCCCGGACCGTTGCCAAGGCCCAAGTATTTGAGGAGGGCGTGTTCCCAATCCAGTGCACACCAGAACTTGCTCAAAATAATGTTCAGGCCCTGGTTCTGAGCTCCTCCAGTGCCATGGATCCTAATATGACCTTTGAAATTCTGGACAATGATGATCAAACTGCAAGTAATGCAACCATCATAATAAGCAGTGATAGTCCTTGTAAAGAATCAAAGTCAACAGACTTCTCAGGTCCCAGCCGACTACTCCATCCTCCCAAGGCCAATGAGGGGAACCAGATTCCCACCAAAAGGTGAGAAAATATTCATGTCTTCATGGGAACTGAGAAACTTTGAGAAACACCAAAGAAAATCCTGCTCTCACAGCAGAAACCAAACTAATATAACATTAAAATCTAACTAGTCAAGTTCCGGGGGGGAAAAATTGCAACAGGTGTCACAAATTTGTATTACAACCATTTAGGGCTGACTCCGAATAGTCGAAGATTCGATGCTTTGACAGGAGGAGCCTGATTCGACTGTCAATCTCACAGTCGAAACTTTGCAGCGAAACAAGGAATATGCCATTTTGGCTTTATGGGGGTACTCAACGTCTGATTTTACATAGAACTACCAGTTTTCTTCCAATAAGTTAATATACAACCTATTATTACAATATACATTTCAATGTTTAATGCTGTAAATAAACATGTAAAAAGAATAAAACTTTCAATAAATGTTTTTAAAAGTGCGTGAATAAATCCAAAATTATAATCCTAACCCTGGGTCGTCAGTGCGCATGTGTAGGCGTAACACGGACGGAGCTCCAGCTTCACTGGTGTTGTGCCGAGTTATCCGCACCTCGCGGGACTTTCGGATAATTTATCACCATTGATGAACCACAAAGAATATTATGTCGTTTTTAAATAGTGGCTACTTGAAATAGACCCGCAAGGAACCGCAGCTTGCATGCAGTTGTCGGCAGCAGTAATGCATGTAAAACTGCAGCTTCTCAAGATTAAAGCGGAGCTACCGTGTGTAAACCCCCTAACCCCCCTGCAAAATTGCTGCGCACAAAAACACATGATTTGAATCAGTCGACTATAGGCAGGATTTGACTATTCTGATTCGACTATGTAAATCCTTAGTCGGGGATAGCTCTACAACCATTTGTTGCACTTTCTTGCCTCCCATTCACTGAACTATTTACTGTAAAACTAGCCCGGGCTAGAATAATACTTGTATAAAAATTATCAAAAAATATCAAAGACATGTAATTCATTTGATCTAGCTCCGACAGACGGCTTGTGCGCTTTTATTTTGAAGGCAGCAACTAACGAAAACAACAACAGGGTGCAGGACGAGAGAAGTATGGCAGAAGTTAGCAGACAGCGATTGACTTCACATGACAGGATTCGTAACTTGGATTAATTTTTCTGAAAAGCTGTTTTGATTCGTTTGATCGGTGGAGCCTTACAGACTAAAGGAATATAAATAATCAAGGAACGGACACATTCGGACTTAACTAGCGCTTCAAAGGTAACAGCATTCAGCGTTTACCATGCAGGTTACACCAGTAAATCTATAAGAATTAGACTTTGGGGATTGTCTAACGATGTGCAGCATGCCCATACTGAAACATTGATCATATGTTTAAACATTAATATTTGTGTTCACAATCTAAGCAGCTTAGAAGCAGCTTAAGCGGGTGACCCCGCAGGGTTTAAGAGGTTTTATACATCCAAAGAACTTCTATAAAAACCAGACCAGGCGTTTAATGGAGGCAGGCGTTTATTTGTCAAAAGGTGTTCCCATACCAGACCAGTAAAGGAGGTAGGCGGCTATTTGGGACTCGGCTATTAATTTAAGTTTTTACGGTATCTCAACATGCAATGGAGAGTAAAGGCCCATTTATACTCCTGCGTAGAGTCTACGTGCGTACCTACGCCGTAGGCTACGCGCGTAGAGTCTACGTGCGTACCTACGCCGTAGGCTACGCACGTAGCCATGCATTTATACTTGTGTGTAGGTCTGTCCATCATTCTGCAATTACATCCCCAAACGCTAGTCGGCAGTAGCGCTACAGCGTCCACTGTGTTGACTTTTGCCGGTGGAGCAGGCTAACTTCCGGTTTAGCACTCCGCTAATGTAAATGGGGGTAAAATTGTATTTTTGTGGCTGGTGTACTCTTTTCAAATGTTACCGACTGAATGGATCACATTCTGATAGCGAAACGAGTCATTTCGCTCAGGTTGCGACGGTCAAATATATTGATTCACTGTATTACAGCCGCTGCTTTGGCCGCTAGTAAATGTAACTTTAAAGCACGGGCATACTTACGGTCTGCTTGGAGGCATTGCGAGGCTACCCAGCCAACCAATCACAGAGCTTACGGTCTGCGTCGACAAACAATTTTGAAGGAGGTGCGTGTCAGGTGACGGCATAGCCTCTGCGTAGCCCTGTAGCCTACGCCGTCGATTTGACGCAGAACTTTAGCCAGGGAGTGTTTTTAGCTGCCTCCTTGGTGTTAAAGCAGAACTATACCAGTGACCAATATTAGCATCATTACACTTATTTTTACCATTTATGTAACGACTATTAAGAAACTGTAATGAGTGTTGAAATCAGACACAAATTATGAATGTCATTAACTTTTTCCTGGAGTTTAAAACACTAGGGACATCCCCACTTATTTTATATCTTGATGTTTCTTAAGAAAAATTGGTACAGAGGGAAAACACTCTTTATGTCACCCATGCTAATCTTGGTAAAATGCCTGACTGTCTAACACAAGCACAATGATTCAGTGTTTGTTCAATTTGCATGCCTTTTAAACCCAGATAGTTCTTGTACCGTATATTTTGCTCCCTGAAAGTAAAATTTATAAAATTTTAATGCAAGTGTACTACACAGAAAATGTTATGAATTACAGTAAGAAAAAAACTTCATTTTTAAAAGTTTGTTCAGAGGGAACTAACAGGCATCTCTCGAATCAGTTCCATAAAATGTTTTAAAAAACAATCTTAAAACACATCCTCTGGCTGCCCGCTGAAGGTTTCAGAGCAAATAAAGAATTATGTGTAAAAGATGCTCAGTCTGGATGGTAACTAAACCATTCAAAAGTGGTAAATCCCCCAAAACTTATTCAAAACCAGACAGAGACTAGAGTGCAAATAATATAAGTATTCTCACCAGCAGCAAGTTTCCAGACTGGAACATTGGGCCAAGAGGCTTAAGTCAGCTGAGCTGAGCAGCGTCATGGTGTCTTCAGCTGGAAGTGGCAAACAAAACCAGGAAAAATGTCAAGCTATAGCAACAGAAAGAGTTTGTATTAGTGAATGATCCTCGCAGCAGAGGAGCTTTCACATTAGCACATTGAGAGTATTTATTGGTTGGATAAATGTGTTCCTAACCAGCCTCAAAATCAAAATGCACTCCTTCAGTCAAAGAAACTACAACACAAACAAATGAAATTGCTTCAAAAAATCTATCTAACCCGCAAACATGCGGTTTTCATGAGAACTGTGTTTCCTCAAATACTAAAGTTTAGGGCTAATCCAGACTTCATGAGAGCACTTAGCACCTGGAACGCTAAATTGTCCTGCAACAGAGGTCAGATCTCAAAGGAAAACTCTTGCATTTAGATGGTAAGAAAAAGCATTACCTTTTTTTTTGTAATTTTTTCTCAGTACAAGACCATTGTAGATGGTGCTAACAGTGTAAATGATGAACAAGAATTTTTCACATTAGTTTTAGTCTGGCAACTGTGGAAAAGTGATTTTTTGGGACTGGAAAGGTGGGCGAGGCAGTTCCCCGAGCAGGGTTCATGCAAAGTGTAGGGGACAGGGACATTAGAGGGAGAAAAGTTTCAAATGACTTTGACAGTTTAACTGTTGTGTTTGGAGAAATAAAAATAAAACGGCAACATCAATTAAACTAGCTAAAAAACAACTGAAGAAGGTTAATTACATAAAAGGTGATACCAATTTCACCAGGTTGATTTCCTCTGGTAGGTTTTTCCAAACACTGTTACTTCCTGTTTTCAATGCCACAAGCTACTCATAGGACCCATTCAGTCACATGTTCAGTAAAACTTCTGTGTCCTGCACTGAAACATTAGCTTTGGCACTAAAGCAATGCCAAAGATTGGGTGTAGAGCAGCTTACTAGTTTCAACTTATCCTCAACTATGTGATTTATTAATTAAACCTCAGATCAACAAGTATAAACATGCTAGAGACTTTTGAGCTACAAATGGATTATATGGGGTTATGTCCAATATAACTTATTGCCAAATCCATTCTTGCTTGAGCAGGAATCTGTAACATTTGAAACCTATGGATGTAAAAATGCTGAAATCAAGATTGTGTGTTCAGATGTATGTGAGAGACAACAACATTTGCATAATCCAAATTTCTGAATGCTGGTGCATCGGAAGGAGGTATCAAATATCAAAAGTTAACAAATGTGTACACAAAACTTTTGTAATACAGCTATTTTATTTTTTAGTTATCTGATTTTGAAAGCAAAGGGAAATGTTCCTTGTTCCCAACAGTGGAGATGTCATGGTAACGTGAACCTTTGCTCTGTAGACAACAGATCCCATCTTTACAAGACGTGAGACGAGCCAACCCAACTTACATGGACATGACATCTGCTGCACAAGGAAAGCGTAAATTTAACCGGTAATTTGCAACTGGCCTTTTCCCTTTATATTAATGTAAATTGTGTTATTTTATACTGACGGTGATTAAACACTCAGCTTCGACATATTCATAATTATCTGGGGCTGGACGCTGTGCAGAACTGTCACCAAAATAACAAAATGAATATCCCATTCCTACTGTTATTAGGAGAAGATCCAGAAATAGATCATGAGGAAATTTAGATGTTGTGTTTGATTTACTTTTTCCTGTCCATTTTTTTTCACTGTGACAGCATCAGAGAAGAGTTAACACAGAGTCTCTCTGCACCGAAGCGTATAAAGAAAGACCCCTCAGTGACCCGGAGACCACTCAGAGTTCATCGTTTTGTCGGTAAGTGTCAACACAGGGAATATATATATATATATATATATATATAATATAAGGGTGCCACTCAATGTAATGGCCAATTTTTTTTGCCCCAACATTTTTCAGGTCCCACCCCCTCATTCTGTTCCTTTTATGATGCATAGTAACTGTGAAGTTTCATTCAGATATATTAATATTTACTGGTAGCTCAATGGGCTCAATGTTTTTATATTTACTTTCATTGCGATAAAATGTTATTTAATTCAAAATTTCTCTACCAAAGTAAATTAATCCTTAAGTAAGTATTATTATTTATATCATTTAACTGTTCTTTTTCATATTCTGATTTGTGTTATTATTTGGTTTAAATACTATGTAATCAGAATAATATTTTTGGGTTAGCACTATTGCAGCCGTAGTCAGTAGTATAGTTAACTCTGTGCAGGGTCGCGAAGGGCCTGGAGCCAATCCCAGCTGTCATTGGTGAACCCTGCACAGGTTGCCCGTTCATCACAGGGCTAACTCACAGAGACAAACAAGTCATACACACGTTCACACCTAAGGGCAAAGAGTCACCAATTAGCCTATGCATGTCTTTGGACAGTGGGAGGAAGCAGGAGAACATGAAGAGAACCCACACAGACACGGGGAGAACATGCAACCTCCACAAAGAAAGGCCTGGGCCTCAATCCACAGAACCTCTTGCTTTGAGGTGACAGCGCTAACAACTGCACCACCATGTCGCTTCTGTGTGTCATGTTAATTATTCTCATTTTTAGCACCACCTACCAGTTATTTTTTGGTACAGTATAGAAGGACACTTCAAGAGAGGACACTTAACAAGAGCTTATTCTGCAGCTGTCGCTTGTATTTGTTGGAGCGCAGTGCGGATGTACATATTTAGGCTCTCAGAACTTTCCACCGGGCTCGGTGATCTACAGTCTGAACATTTTCCGGTTTCGCCCCCAATTCCGAATGAACTGTTACATATGGTAAATGGGCTGTATTTGTATAGCATCTTTCTAGTCTTTTCGACCACTCAGAATGCTTTACACTACATCACATTCACCTACCTATGAGCACAGACCCAACTGCTCATCAGAAAGAGAAATGAACTCATTCATACACTGATGGCACAGCCACCAGGAGCAATTTCGGTTTCCCAACCCTTCTTTAAGGGGACGACCGTTCTACCCTGAGTCAAAGCCGCCCACTTATGCCACTTCAACAATTCCATAATTAAGGTCTATCTGAAAGGCTATCTGGTTTACATGTGCATGTGTTTCGTCCATTTCATAGAAATCTGCAGCTACTGTGTGAGCTGGATAGCTAGCCTACAACAAAACCCATGTAGCTGTTTTTTAAGCTGCAATACATTGCATTCTCTGGACACTGAAGTGTTCATTATTAAATTATGAAGTAACTGTTAGCAGCTATGTGTCTTCTTTTTGAGGAGTTTTACATTATTCTAACTTGTGATATTAAAGTAAATATTACATGATAAAATTGGAAAATGTTGAATATTGTAAAACTTTGTCAGTGTTGAGCTACCAGTAAAAATTATTAGAAACATTCAAATTTTGTCAACTTTGTTTTTGTGACATTATTAACACATTTGGGGGGTGGGAAGATGAAAATTAGAAACTTTATTTTTGAGTGGCATCCTAATAAATATATATATATATATATATATATATATATATATACCCCCACTGATAACAGTTTACAGTTAAACTACAAACTGCCATGACAGAGAGGGCCACACATACAGCTAAATGTGTGCATTGTTTCGATGCCATTTTAGTTTGATCAAACCAGAATTGGGGGGAGGGGGTCCTTTTTTAAAGAGCAATGTCAAAGTTCCTGAAGGATTTAAAATGTAACTGCAATCATGGCATTCACAGTCAGAGCAATCAGGAACAATAAATTGTAGTTGTGTTCATTCTTGATACTATTGCTTGTTTGGCGTCTGTCCTCAGGTTCAGAGGAGAACAAGCCTCGAAGAGTTGTGAGGAGTGTTTCTGAAGGAAATCTCAGCCAGCTTGAACCTCAGAAATCCAAGTCCTTTTTCCAGAAAACATCCCAACAGTTCAAACGAGTGACCAAACGGATGTAAATCAACATTGTGTACAAATCAGGCCATGTTGCCTTATGAACATTCTGAACATTTTAAGTCTCCACTCTTTTTTCTTCGTATTCATCTTTTCACAACATTCCCTCAAAACCGAAAAAAGCGGTCCATTGTGTTTCCCCCACCAATTCTAAGGTAGCTAGAAAAATGCAATGTATGTTTTATTGCTTTATGCTCTTCAATTTAGGCTTACACTGCAGTGAAACTTACTGTATATAAACATTTTGTAGTTGTTCTGTTTGGATTATTCTTTTCATAGTTGATGGACTTGTTGGTTTTTAAGCCTCCCTTTTAGATTTGAAGATATATTTTAAAACTCATGTACACACTAAAAGCAACAAATATAACATGTCCTGTGGATGTTCCTTGCTTTACGTACATGATATACTTTGCACTGTTCTCTGAAACTGATTGGTCTAGGTGACCATATTTCCCAGTGCAACTAATAGGGGAAAACTATACATGACCTCAAACAGAAGAATGGCTGTTTAAAAAATAAAACTGAAACTTCTCCACACTGAGCTGTTTATAATTTTATTTTTAATTCTATTTTTCCTTCTTGTACAGATAATTAAATGGAGATATAGATATTTCATAATAAAACTGCTTGTAACAGAATGCGTTCCTGTTTTGTGATAAATAAATCAGTTTCGAAAATGTAATATCTGTTTTTTGTGCTATTGATGTGGAGTCTGAATGTGGTTTTCAGTGACATTTGGGTTACAGGATGTTCCAACGATAAATAAGTGACGTAGGACAGGCTCAGGGAAGGTGAAGAACACAATGGCAAGAGAAATTGAACTGACCTAGGAGTGACTCGCAGCATAACTCAGAAAGATAACTTTCTCAATGTCTTTCTATTTAAAAAGCAACCGTTTCATATGGCTTAAGGAAAAAGGGTGAACCTCGAGTGGAATGATTGATAGGATGCTATTTGTCTCTACCGATGCCTCGTGGGGATTCTGGATGATGAGTGTATTTTACCATTCAACAGAACACACACTCCACATTCAGTCTTAAAATAGGTGTTATAACCAACACTGCTGTCCAAAAAAAAGTGAAAGGTCTAGAAAATGATTGCCCATTAGTTTGTGGGGGGGGGTGTTGCCCAACCAGAGCTGTTTTGTACCCCAGTGTGTATTTCTGTAGTTCCCAGGGCGTATGTGGAAAGATGGTGGAGTAGCTCAGTTAATTTGAAAAGATAGAAATAAAAAAAATTTAATCTGTATATTAATGCGAAAAATCAAATTGCAAATTGGTATGAGGCTGCTGATCTTTAGTATTTACAATAACAAGCAAGTTACTATAGGGTAGTACATGCCCACCAACCTGAGTCAGTTGTAATTGTGATTGAGAGTGCATAAAATCTAGTTAGCAAGGGAGCAGAGAAGTCGAAATAGTTAAAAGTAATGGATAAACAATTGAAATAGCAAAAAAAATGGAAAACTTATTGAAGTGTCCAGCTTCTGCCCCTGCAAGTTATAGAAGTACAAGTGCAACACTGACAATTTAATTATATTGTAAGATAAATATATAAATATTGTAACAATATCCATAATAAAAAAAAGTGTTAAATAACATCAAGTTGACATCCATTCAGAAAAACATATTGTGGATAAAGAGGAACTTGAGCACACCTGGGAACCACAGCTAAATACCACTTTTGAATAGTGTTTCAAAGATATTTCAGGCTTTCCTATGTTGCATTTTTAGCCTGATCAAATGTGAAGAATTGCTGGGAACAAGCTTTTATTAGAATTCTATACTTAAAAACAAATGTCAAAAAATACCTCCTGGATCTCTGATGAGGGTGGGACCTCATTGCTCTGTCTGGAGAGAACTAGACTTGTCACTTTGAATTCAGTCTTGCAACTTTCAGTGGCACAGCATTCAGTGTGATCTTTATTTTTAGCTCAGGAGCTCAATGCATATATCAGCACTGTACTGCGCAAGCACTGACACCCTCTCATGCTCTCATTCACAAGAATCTCTTCATTGTGTGTGTGTGTGTGTGTGTGTGTGTGAGAGAGAGAGAGAGAGAGGGAGAGAGTGTGTGCGCATACAGGGAGGCAGGTCTTGGCTAAAGTTTATTAACTTTCTCTTAGCCAATGGGGCTCGTTGTGCGTTTTTCCTGCTGACCAATGGGACAGATTGAGAGGTTGGAGGTGGGTGTTGCTTAGCAACTGCAGGTAGAATCTCAGATCATGTCGGACCCATTGTTTTATCTTGCCTCCCTGAGAGACATTACATGCTATGTGTTGTGATTTCTTAGTAAAAACACCTCTGTGCAAATGCGTCACAAAGTTGTTAACTCTATTTTTAAAATGTTAAACAAAGATCACAGTGACTTTAATGGCATTTCACGCTCAAGTCAGAGCACTTTTAACTGATTGTCATTATGCGACTACATGTAGCTGTTTTATTTTCAATGCCAAACCACTGGGGCACATACAAGTGAATTTAGATTTTTTTATTTTTTTTTTTGCTCCTGATTACAGTAATAATAACCTTTACTGAACCTCACGCAGAATCAGAGATGAGTGGTTATAAACTTCAGGCATGGTTGCTAAGATTCTACATGTAGAAGATACCAACACACTAACACACACACATACACACATAAAGCCCTTATGCAATTAATTATGATTCTTTATTATAATTCTGATTCAAGAAACCTTGAGTGTTGGCCTAAATAAAATTGAAAGTGTGTTTTGGTAAATCCAGTGTTTGAGAAGAGCCTTTATGCAATGTTTGCATGGTCAGGAAGAGAGACACCGACAACCACATACAAATATAAGCATATGATCCCTCCTACAATCTTCCGTACTCCCACAAGGCAGCGTGTCACAGCTGTGAACTTTTCGTCCCCTGTCTAATTAGATGACCCAATATCTTAAAGCGATATGTCACAGAGGAATAACTCGAGGAGAGCTGACCACCAGTACTGTCTGTCCTTTCACCACTAATAGTGTCACTCGTTGGCTTTTGTTTTACCTTTGTTAGCCTAAAGTGATATGTACATGTCACCTGAAAATAGGTTTACATGCTTGATGTGTACCCACATCCTACTGTGTCTCATGTTTATTTGAAGTGAACATGCAACAAAATGATTACTAGATTAGTTAGGTTAATAGTTCAGATACAAATAGCTCTTTAAATACGTGTATAGAGCAACCTTGAAACTTATTATTTTATGCTTCTCCACACTTCTTTTTTAGGGGACTGATTCATTTGTGGATAGTTAAATTAAATTAAAAGAAGAAAAAAAAAGACCAGATTAAAAGGAAAATATCTGTGGGGTTAAGTGCTTTGTAATAGAAAATTAAATGTATTTTAAATTTCAGTCGAAAATATAGCATCATAAGTGAGACACAAAAGAGTTGCTTTTGCTCACCGTCCCGTCCCGTGATGCTAAATGCAAATATTTAAATGGGGTTTATGGAAATTCCTGGGATGCACCCTGAATTTGGCATGTAAAGCAGGGCCAAGAAGATGCTTGTTTACACCATGCACATTTGTGTCCAGTGCATCCACTAGTGTGAAGCAAAGGAATAGACATACAAGTGTAAATAAAATTTGCTGTACTGTCCACAAAATTGGAACACATTTGGGGAGATACTTCAGCTCAAAAGGCATTCAAAATTCTGGATAAGGTAAGCCATGATAGTTTTTCCCTATACAGAGATTTAAACTAGTGCTGAAACGATTACTCAATGAATGGACAAAACTGATTGATCAAGTGAAAATTGAATAAAAAGGCTAATCGACAATGAAAATAATTGTTAGTTGTGGATTTAAAAATTATCTTTCTTTTAAGAAAGGAGCAGATTTTGTATAAGCACTCTTAGACTTAGATGTGCTTTTACATAAACATGTCATTGTGAAAATTGGGGGGGGGAGATAAACAATGAAGTTGGTTGTTGTTTGGTTGACTTTGGAAAAATTAGGCTCTGTCAGTCTGAGGTAACAGCATCCCATCCATCCTCAAGGACGTCATATGTACACTGTCACGTACACAATGGAAGAGACGTCAGAGAAAACTAGGTTTCACACAGTGTTTTTTTTTTATTCTCAGTCGAATGGGTTATAGTGCAACGATAGCTACAGAAATCTGATAACACATATATATTTAGTTACGTGTTTGTCGGTCATCCCCATTTTTCGCCCAGCAGTTTTGTTTTCAGAAATGCTTTACATTGTATTCCCCCTCCACATTTTATTCGGCAAAACAAGTTGTGTGAGAAGACAACGAGGAGGCAAATACCTAGCTCCCTTTATCAATACACAGCTGACTGTTGACAGGACCTTGTGCTGTGGTTATAGTGGGGGGATGGGTGAGATTTACAGTTTCCTTTACCAGGTAATGTCTCCCGGTGTGAAACAATGTGACAGAAAATCAGTACAGCTGTGATGGCTCAGCAGTGCTCTTTGCCCCTCTACATTCTCCTCCAGGAGCTTATCCAAAGCCCACCTCAAATGTACTCTATGTAGCCTGTGGATGACTCATCCTCAGGAGAATGAGCTGTATGGTGCAGGTAGCCTTGCAAATAAACATTTCACAAGTCTACTGAAGTACTTTGCTGACTTACAGTCTGAACCCGCAGACTGCAAACACAAACTCTGACAAACCAATTCTGTTTTATTCTGTCTGTAAGGCACACAGTGTAAAATAGCCTCCTGTGTTAATGTGTCCCTTCTGTGTTATGACTATATCACCAAAAACACACAACAATGATACATCAGTTAAGGCTCCAGAATTTTTTACTCATTTTGTTTATTGAAACAGCAAAATTGTCCTCATTGCAGCAATTGCCATGGAGACCGGGTCCCAAACCTACTGGTATCATACAGTGCATGAGTGTGTGTTCATTACCCTTTACCGCAACTTCCAGGAAACACTGCACTCTGAGTGGATGGGTAACTCCACCTTTTTAGGATGGTTAGGGAATATGCATTCAAATGTTCTTTGTTTCCCAGCAGCCTTAAACACCCGTTCCCTTCAAACGCCCTGTAAATCCTCTCTTGTCCCATATTTAGTTGCAGCATCCTGTTGCTCTGTCATCTTTGCTATTATAAAGTTTGTCACTAATGGGGCGTGTTAGAGCCTTTCATCTGTCCTGACATGGTTTTTATTCTACATCCGAGCAACTTTTTTTTTATTCAGGCCTAGTCTGTCTTGTTTCAAATAAAGTTTTAGAGCCACTACACATGCATGTTACGCCCCCACAGAGACGTTGTCACCGGATTACACCTCCTCTCAGACTGTGTGGGCGTGTACAGACTGTGCTTGATTTACATCTGCATCACCCTCCTGCTAGTTTTGGTGCACCTGTTAGGGTATAACATTTATCAACACTTTTATCATTCTTTGTACGTCCATATAGCAAAAGGGAAGATGGTCCATTAGTTTTCTCGGCCACTGTAAATTTTTTACAGTTTTCCTTTAACAAAATCCTCTTTGTTTCTCAACACAGAAGCACAATAAGTCTCTGTGATAATTTAGCAGTAGGTGTATGTTCTCTACATCATACAAATAACTCTTCCCTCTATTCCCTGCATTTCAACTAATGTCAACCTGAGCAGAGGTCTAATCAACTGATTATAACTGAAAACACCAA